AGAGAGAGAGAGAGAGCGAGAAAATTATTATAATTGGAAACTTGTAACCAAACTTGTTTTTATTGTATTATTAATCGATATATTATCAGAATATCGATATTAAAAAAATAATACTTTTAAATTGCGAAAGAGAGATTATCAATTTTGACGAGGACGATAATTCCATTTTTCATTCTATGAAATAAACAGATAAAATAGTTAATGCATTTGATTGAAAATAGAAGAAAAGAAAAAAACGTATTCCGAAAGATCTCGTCTAAATAAAATGAAATTAATTGAAAAATAAGTTCTAACGATATTTTTGGCGTGTTATTAATGTATATATACATAAGGAATTATTACCTACAAACACATCGTTAAACAGCAGATGAATATTACTTGAATAATGCAATCTTTATAACATTTATAACATTTCGTACGTATACGTACGTATAATTTATAATTTGATAGTTAATTATATGATAATAAAATAAAGCGACATAAATCAAATATACGAATTTCAACTACCGGATAATTAGTTATAATTGTTAAGTTCTCTCAATATTAAAATTTTGATGATATATCCGACCATCCCGATCATGCTTTATCATAATTATCATGATATCGTATATTTTCATGTGATCAAAATTTTCAAAAATTTTTGTAATAAAAAAAGTTTAACTTATTTTTTCAATTTCTTTGCATATTTCTTGCCTACTAAATTGTCGAAGGATAAATAAATGATTGATAAACTGTAATATTTGACACTTTCATCAAATTATACAAGACAAAAAATATTAGAAACGAAACTTTGAAAAAAAATCTGAATATTATTATAAGATCATTAAAATATCAGTTACGTGTGCACGCCTTCAATTTCTTCCAATAAACGTGTCTCCGTATTAAGTAATAGAAAACATTTACAATGCTATAAATTAGATGTTATGATAGTTTTTGAAGCGATATCCAGTCGTAATCCCATCTTATCCAACTCTCCCCTACTTTCTACACCTCTAGCACCCTATATTTCACCATTTTCTAAAAAATGAACTCCAACTGCAACGCTCGAATAATCATACAATCCTCGTATAACGATCGTTATAGCTAACAACCTTCCCTCGCAAAAAAAAAGAAAAAAAAAAAAGAAAAAAAAAGAAAAAAAATGACTATATCGTTTCACTTGCTTTCGAAATCGTCGAGGGCAAGTAGCACTTGTACACAAGGTGTTCAGATGAAACACACGGATTTAAGTTGAGACAAAAAAGGATGCAAAGATGAGATGATTATTTTTCAAAAAATAAATAATCGTAAATAATTTTGCATCAAGTAAAACGAGATAGAAATATAATGTAACATCGTAAAATTACTCTGCTTAATAACTGAATTAAGTTTCAACGTTTCGTTCTAATTTAAATCTAAGCTTTTTCTCAAAAATCAAAAAATCATCTCAAGAATTGTCATTTTAGAGCAATGAAAAACAGAACATCCAGAAGATTATAACTGAAAACAGTTTCGATTGTTTCTTCAATACTATTATTAGAATTAAAAACTATTTCGAACGACATAACACACAGACAACAAAAATATCCACGTTTTCACTCTCCAGACGTATATCTAAATTCGAACACTGTGTATATCTACTCGGTCGGTAATCCCCTTCTCGCAACAACGTGCGCCCGATCGTGCATTTCATGCACGTGCGTCGGACAAATGGGATTAGCCGGGTGACGAAAGTGTCCGCTCGGAACGGAACCGATCGTGCCGTTTGAAATTCCACGATGACGCAGAAGGAAAAGTTGCCGGTGGAACAGTTAATCGGGGGCTCTGTTCGATGCCGGGGCACCTGAGAATTTCTTGTTGCACACGCGAATCACAAAGAGTCCTTGGTTGGCCTGATTGGAGTGACGCGAGGATCGATTCACCTAATGAAGCCACCTGGCTCGAGGTAAACGCGGCTCTCTCCGCTCGTGCATTGACATTCTACCGTTTAAAGAGATTTGCGTTTCTTTGGCCAATCAGAGAAGTTGAATCCAGATGAATTTCGATGTATCTTCTAAAATTTTAGATCTTTTTCTTTTTTCTGGTCGAGTATAGATACTATATTGGAGTATAAATTGTTTCGATGAAAGGTATTCGATAAAATTTTAAGGGAATGTTAAATTTAAAGAAAATCTATCTACTAGATCTAAAAATGTAAATCTAGGGGACCCTAGTATTTTTCGGGAACTTTAGATTTCCAATGTTCGACATTCATTTTAACACCATTCCTTTCAACAAACAATTAAAATTGCTTTAAAATAGTCATCCTATAAAAAAAAAAATCTAACCTTATTCGAGCATAGTTGGTGTTCCAATTAAATTAGAATTGGACACTAGCGCCACGTCAAGTGATCGGCGAAGAAACTAGCGGAAACACAGTTGTCACGTGGGCACAGGTCAAGTTTTTATCACGTTCAAGAGGGGCTCATCGTGAATTGTGCCGCGCTTATAGAGTATTCGTAGGCGTTAAATAATGTTTCCTTAGTCAATTTACTGTTAGTGCCTTGTTCGATATAACCTGCGCTCGGCCGGCACGAACTGCATATTTACGAGCGGGTTGTAAACCGTCGGCTAGGCGTGTGCGTTGCACTATTTGCTACGATAAATTGGAGCAGGCCAATTTGTCACGAGCTCTAGGTTCCACGGAATGATCATCCTTATTGTCGACCGATAACGATCGTCCGTTGAAATAATTTACAATGTCGGTGTAGGAGCGAACGGTCTCGAGACAATATGGCGAAGCGTTTTTTCCCCCTTTTTGTTTCAGGATAGTATACGATATCAAGGAAGTGTTCATTGTTTTTGCGAAGAGACGTTGCAACTCCTTTCGAGCGTATCTTTACGAGGAAAATGGCTATTAATATAATCCTGATTAAGTTTCCGTAAAATTTTATATATATATATATATATTTCTATGATACCATTATAAGCTGACGATAAAACGTTTAGTATCTTTCTTATCAGTACATATATCTATATATATAGGAAAACGTCTAGTTTTGGATCCATGGAAGAAAAATCCTAAACTTTATTCTAGACGTTTTCAATCCTTCTTTGCATCTTCCCAAATCTATTGAGCTATTGAGCTCAATTCCACGGATGCATCCCACATTTTCTCAAACGATCGTCCAATTATACAATTATAATTGCCGTCTCAACGCAACGAGACAAACATTTCAAAACGTTTCTCGTTAATGATCCCCACGTAACCCTTCTTGTACACGTAACAACACGTCGTTCGAGATGGAAAGGTCAGTGCTCAATATTCACAAGCGTATTATTTTAAACGAAACAGCGTGATTCATTCACGGATCGTTTTCGCCTACGTGGATCGGCACCAATAGTAAAAGTGTCGCAATCGACGTAACCGATTTTCCCCGAGCGATGAATCAACGCTATCTCGAAAGCACGCGACGATCATAAAAATTCGCAGCGGGCTACCTTTTCCCCCCTTTTCCCTCTCTTTCTTTTCCTTTTCACGCTTATCCACGCGTCATCACACGGCCGGTGGCCGCAACCTCCTTTCGTCACGATCGGTAATCGACAGGTTAATCCGTTAGGCGTCGCTTCAATAACGCTGTCGTGTGTTGCAACTATCGAGTAACAGGCAGGTATGCTAACCACTATGCCCACTCGTGACGTTTTCATTAGAGGAGGCCGAGGACGGATAATCGGTTTCGATCGGGGTTAGAATAAGATTGAAATCGTTTAAATGTACAGTTACCTCGACCCCCCCGTTCAAGGAGTAAAAGTCGTAAACAATATTATATTTTTAATATAAAGTTGGTGAATCGAACGACAGATATCCCTATCGATTATTGGTACGATCGGTATAAATTCATTCGAAAGATATAGAAAAGAAAAGAAATTTTAAGCGTTTTGAAGAAAGAAACGCTATGTAAAATCTTTCTACAGTATCCAAGTTGTGCATATACCAGCAAACATAAATATCGTTGCTATTCCGTTCACGGCCGAGGCGGCAACAAAATGAACAAAATAATACAATGAGCTATCGGTCCATCTATCGATCATTTTTTCCCCTCCCCTCTTCGAAGAATACGAGAGGATCGTTCCAAGGACAGTGGTTCCTACCGACGCAACCCACCACCCTTCCATCTTAAAACACTCTCTTTCTTTCTCTCTCTTCGTTGCGCCATTCTCGCCCGGCTCAACCTTAATACGCTCGCGTTACCCTTCTTTATTGCCTCGTAATTTTCTTGGTGAACGTCAGAAAACCAATATGGAATACCCTCTACCTCCTGTGGATATCCGCCTTTGAGCGGAGGGCCGGCCCCCCCCCCCCCGTGTTTTGCACACTTATTGCCACAATGAATAGTTTACGATTCGAAAGAAAGTAGAAGTTAGGTTAGGTTTTTCCAATATATCGGGACGAGTTTGAAAAGGAGAGATAGTGGCGACCTCTTTGGCGATATTATCGACGAGTTACACATACATATTGTGTATAACCAGTTTCAGTGATCTAAGCTGGTTATCACAACCGTTCCCGTTTGCTTTGCCAGCCATAATTTACGTTTTCCTGAAAATGTCTACCGGATACAGGGCCCATTAAGAGCTAACCGCCGGTTGCCGAACGATTATACTTCACTATCAATTATGAGCGATCCTGCTGCCTTTTTCCCCTTTCTTTCTTTCTCTCGTTCTTTCTTTTTTTAGATTATTTCGCATCGAACAAGTTTCGCGGGATTTGATTTGTTCTTCTGAGCGGAAGATGAGCGGAGTCTGGTTTAAAACGAAGGATTATTTATTATTGTTTCGTCGCTAGTTTATATAAAGTAATTTATCTAAAGAAAGTAAATTTGTTCCTTCGTCACAAAGCATCAATAGTTGGCAGAACAACTCTGTCAAGCCCCTTGATACGAAAGTGAAAAATGATGGAGCGTTTCCATCCACAAAATGAGAAGAAGTATGGTCAACGATAATTTTTATCATTTCCAAGAGAATGAAAAGACAACTCACCCGGATAACCTTCTGGGATGACTATTTCCGGCCCCACTTTGACATCGTGCCTGTAACGATGTATCAACAGGGTAGCGGTGACACGAAGCGATCTCTGTTGCTGTTTGTAAAGCAACACCGGCCTTCCACCGGCGCCCTCCAGCCTCACCACTCTAGGCAACGAGAATCGATCGAGGAACTCGCGCAGGGGCATGTAGCCGCCGCTGGACCCGGAGCTACCCTCGGCCGTCGCCTCCCTCGAGCTCGGCAGCGATTTCGGCAGCGAAGGCACCTCCTCGCTCGACATCGTCGAGAACTCGCCGTTCGACGACATCTTCTCGTCCACTTTTTCAACCCTCACTTCTAACTTCCAAGATAATTCCAACGCGACTTATCTGTCCACGCCTCTTATCGGCAACCACGGCTCTATTGCGCATCGTTCCAAATCGAGGAGCACGGCTCTTCCGACAAACCACGACGATTGAAGGGATCGTCTCGCGTCGACGAGATGCAACTTCTTACGTGGTTAACTTCTTGGCAACTTTGCTGAGAGGCGCGTCTCATCCGCGAAGAACGAACGGTTTCCTCCACTTTCGGCAACATTTTCATCTTATCGATCAACAGGTTCAAACAGGCCCACGTCGTAAGCTCGCGTCACTTGCCCGTCACTTTCCACCTCGATAGATATCCCACCTCCGCGATAAGGGATCTCGAGGGAGGAGAGGGGCAAGATTTCAGAATCGATCTCGATCAAGCCTGAAAGCCGATCGATTCGAGTCATCGAGCGCGACCGAGGAATTCATTCACTGTACACTGACTGTTACCGCAACGAGCAACAGGGCGCAGTGAGATCACGGTGCGGTTCTTGGGAAACGGGCAGCGTTCCTTGCGAAAATTCCCTCGTTCGAAAACTCCCCTCCCATCCTCGGGTCCTCGTGCGCCAACCTTGGCCGCCCCTTTCGAACTCCGGACGTCGGGAAGGATCGCGTCATTCTTCCAAACAGCTGACGATTTCCTCGAACGCCAACATTTGGAACGAATGATCGATGGTGGAAAGATCGTTGATATAAACCGATCTGCCCGAACTATCCCCCAACACCATCAGTTCGTCCCTGCCAACCCTCGATCGAACCTTGGTAGAAACTGCACCATCCTTTTTCTTCGAAACTTAAGTTCTTAAGTGTTCGAATCAATTAAACTCTTTTCGCCAGATTCACACCGGTTTAAAAGGTAACCACTTTCAAATCTTCTTCCGATATTCAGGGAGTACAAAGAGAGAAGCGTGGACGATCACTTTCCCTTCCTTTCAACAAAACTTTCTCGATAAGGGATGTGTTCGGCCGAGATTCGGAAGAACCGATCGAAGCGGCGGACGCGAAGTCACTGACGCCCGGCGTGACTGGGGCCCGGCGTAAGAGGCCCACCGGCACACGGACGGGGCCCTCCACCACACGCGCGCCTGTCGGTGGCCGGTGTACTAGCAGCGGCGGCTCGAAGAACTCGGGGCCCTCCCCGGTCGTAGCTCGAGCTACGAGGGACGTGGGCTTATTCAATAGGGGTCCTATTGTGTTCCAGCCTCAACTGTTCAGCCTCGGACAGAAGCGAACCGCCCTTAATAGTTTCCTGTGGAAACGTAATCGTGAGCGAAGTTGGTGTGCACACGAGTATATCCAATAATAATTTGACAAAAATCATCTTTAATCTTTCGTCCGTGTATCAATTTATCAAGGAAAAAGATGGGCGTATCAGGGTTTCGTTCAATTTGGACGGAATTAGGTTTGGAAACAGGATCGAGACAATTATTATTACAAGAGTTCACGAACAACTACGAACGATTAATTTCAAATTTGCCTCCCCAAAGCGCTTCTCCCCTATTTTAATCCGCAGCGGAGTTCGTAACAACTCCGCATCCTTAACGATATAACTGTGACGCCTTAAAAAGCGATCTCACTGGCAAATACACACCGAGGAGGAGCAAAGGCGGCTCGCTCGATCCTTATAAAAGATCCGTCCAAAGTAAAACTTCACGTTCACCCGTAAACCCGTAATACCTTTCCTTATACAGTTATCTCCCAGGCATTAAAGGGAAATGGTACATGCCTGGGATGTATATTTAATTATATCATTTTATTCGCCTCGCGAGTAAAAGAAAAAAAAAAAAAGAAGGAGAGAAGAAATGTAAAATCGCGATGGTGCGCCAGGAACGGATGGTTCCTGGGAAGCTTGGAAAGTGGAACGACCTTGAGTCTTCATTCTTCGAACGTGTGTACCCTCGCGAAAGAATAACCATGCATAATACACGGGCTGTTGTTGCATCACGGACCAAGCGATGATACATAGTGTTCGCACGATTCTCTTTCTTATCTCTCGTCTTCTCTCTCTCTCTCTCTTCTTCTTCTTCGGTCGTCGCGGAATCACACTCTTTTGTTCGTCGATTGCGCGCGCATAGTGACGTGTAATGACGATGTACGGTACCGTGACGAGAGATCGTTGCCACATCGAGATATCCTGCCGCGCGAAACTATCAAATTTGAACACTTTGCCGGGTAAAATTTTAGGTATTACATAAGAATTGTTGTTTTGCAAATGGGGAAGGATAAACAATAGATAGCTTCGTTAGAAAGAAACACCTTAAAAGATAAAATTATAACAAATAAGGTCTTTCTTCCTTATACTTGATTCTTCTGATTGTTATTCTTATGGATAATATTGCGTGTATCTCTCTGTAAGAACAGTTGTGTAACAGGAACGCTATTATTGGCTTAGTTGTCACATCCACGGGAATTTGTGAATTCTTTCATTGAACTTACAATGTATATCGTTATTTCATGTTACATAATCTCGTTATTTCGCAACGTATTAGGAGAAGATCGTCGGCTAAGATTGTTGGTAAAAGCACGCAAGAAGTACAAAAGGTACGAACTTCAGTGTCGTCACGCGCATGTTGCAATTTATAATAAAAAGAGAATATTTGAAATGAATATTATCAAGCATGAGAATATTTGTTTTTAAACGAGTTTCTCAATATTGTTTATAAATATATTGAACGTTAATCATTCTCACTTTATTAAAGTAAAATTTTATTACAATTTTCTTGGTTGAGAAACACTGCGTGAGTTTGTGTTTAAATATACGTGATATACGTACATCCAAATTTGGAAAGTATTTGTGACCTGTGTGTTTTTCTGCATCTTGTGCGTTTTATTTCTTTTCTTTCTTTCTTCTTTTTTTTTTCTTCTTCTTTTATTTCACTTTGATGTCCGACTCGAGAAATATGGCTTATTACTTTAGAGGCATGAGTCAGTCATCTTTTTTTTCCTCGAAAAGTATTACGAAATTTTTTTCCTCTAATGATACTTCGTAAATGCTCTTTAGAAATTGTTAATTGACGATTTAATTGCTTGGAAATGCGAATAAATATAATTGTCACCGAATAAAATTCTCTCTTCGTTCCATAACTTTACTGCAACTTTACCAGAAATAATTACGATTTTCATTCTTCCAAGAAGAGACCAATATATGCAATTACGTATCCACCATTTTTGAAAAAGAGAAAAGTCTTCATCGGAGACGAATAGTCCTTGGTTGGCGCGCATTCGTGATATTCAAAGCGGCTGGAACGGCGCTGTTAATGGTCCAGACAAAAGGTTGGACAGCTCATCTTGATAAACATTTACGAGTACAAAGTCTCCCTCGAAATGCATTATAGTAGCATTTATTTGGCCATTACACATGTTTATGGGTTGTTGGACAAGCTTCCTTGGGCGTACCCCAATGAAATCTGGACTATTGAGACCGTATCGTTGGCATACGTATGTATATAACACGGGGGTACGAACGTGGAGGGAACGCAGCGCCACCACTTGCAAAATGATCATTCGTATTGTCTCTCAAATGCTTTTCAATGTTACACGTTTCGCTCGAGGGGGGAGGCGAAAAATTCTCGTCCCGTGTAGGAGAATTTGCAAATAAAACAAATGCGGTGAAAATATGGCCGTGTAATATCAGGCTTTGCTGAATCTCGGCCATTACATTGTTGTGTTCGTCTCGTTTTCTTTCGTGTTTAATGGTTGTCGTCGGCTATACACGGATTAGTGCCATTGTCGTTGTTGTACAGGGTGTTCCAAGAAAGTATCCTATCCTCTCGAGGTATATCCTTCATGATACCTCGAGGAATTTTCGATTTTGATGCGAATAAATTATTATTATTTTTTTTTTCTTCTTCTTCTTCTTCTTTCTTTCTTTTAAGTATAACACTTCGCTCAATTTCAAGCTTTGAACCTGATCAAAAATTACACGTATTATCGAGCAATGGTTCATTTCATACGTTTCAAAGGGATAAAAATAAGATAGAATGTGATAGAGTGTAATTTTAGGACTGCGAGTGCTTAAATTTCAAACTAATTAACTCGATATCTCGATGCCACATACCGTAGAGTTCGGAATTTCTAAATCCGCAATTCAGCCTCGAGGGGGGAAGAAGGGAACAAAATGTGATCGCCATTCAACCACAACCGTTCCGAGTGCACCTGCACTCGGCACGAAGCGGGGAGAGAGAGCACGAAGGGACAAACGCGTGAAATAATTGTTTCGCTCTATTACGATTCTTCGTCCCTGACCTTGAGGTCCGTAAAAGTACTTAATCGCGCATTCTGCATCATCATGCCACTTTCCATCGTCCCTGTTCCCCTCTCACTCCCTCTTTCCACTCTTCATTCTTCTGCCTCCGTGCACGCGTGACTCCGTGTTCAGCGCCAGCTTTGTTTTCAGACCGAAGCCGCCACACCCTGCGCCCTCTCGCGGGGTAATAATAATTGTTTGCGCGCTTACGTCTATAAAATGGCGTGCCCTTGTCCTTGCAAGGCTGCACTCACGCCACCTTTAGACTCCTCTCTTTTTCAACGGACCGCACTGGCCAACACACACCGTGGGAAGATACCGAGATCGCGATGGACCCTCCGGCTCGCCTTGACTGATCCTCTCCACAGATTAGTCCTTATCTTTCCTGTACCTAACTAAACGCAACCGCGGTAAATATAGAATTAAATGGACCGAGGCGTAGCTACCGACGGTATTAATAAACTTCGGGTTTCACGTGTAACTTCTTACGTGCCGCGACGCCCCCGCCATCTTCGACGCAAATCGAAACTACGCGAATCATATCCTCGATCATATAGGTTATACATATACTGTTACTGAATATTATCTCTCGACTATTTTTCACGATCAAGCATCGACGAGAAGTAATTTCGGAAAAATTTGCAACGATCGATCGAATGTCGCGCGAACATAACCTCAAAATATTAGAAAAGAATATTATTTCGATATAGTACGCGTGCTATCGATTCAAACTTGCT